AGTAGTTATAAAATCTGTAATGACCATGCAATATAAATATCTAGAGATTCAAAAGTGGTTATACTCACTATTCCAAGGATCAACAAAAACCTCAAGGAGAAGTAAATGTCTAGGATTCAGCTAAAGTTGAATGAAATGGTAAAGATTAAGGCAAGTAAGAAACTCTGTGAAAATTAGAAAGAATGCACTCAACTGCATTTCTTTCAGTCACAGTTTCCTAGAATAAATATGTAAACAGTTAATATATATTTATTTTCATTATCTATTTTTTTTTTTGTGATTTATTTTACATATGCATATAAGTAGGTGGGGGGAAAACTGGTTTTCTTCCTCTTTGCCGACTATCCCTCAGTGAGTTGGTGAGGTATTGTCTGTGACAGGATCTCCAGTCACCAGGCTACAATTATGAATTATTTTTCTTTTGCTTGAAGGCAGAAGAAATGTCAGTGGGCATCAAAATCAACAAGATTCTTTTTCAGAACATAAGATTGATATAATGTTCACAAAAATTGCAGTGATATATCCATTTTAAATCTAAATAAATTCAGCCAAACCAATATAATTTCTACTGAATAAAAAAAATGAAATCAACATCAATATGAACTAAATATGTCAAAATCTCAGTGAGATAAATTCTTTATTAAATTCCTTTAAACCTATCTATTTAAAAAATTTTAATACTAATAGTGACTGTTAGGTAATTCTTTCAACTGTTATTTAAAAATACATTATTATTGAAAAAATACTCTTAAAATGAATATCAGGGATAAAAAAGCAGTTAAAAAAGAACATTACAATTAACAAAAATGCCATACTCATACACAAGAAACTATAGAACATGCACTGATGCATATATACCCAAATGTATATACACAAGATGAAACCAACTTGAACATTCAACTTGTTTTTCCCCATGACCAAGACTGGTCAAGCAAGTAATGAAAAACAAAAACAAGTTTACAATCAAAGCCAGACATTGCAAGATTCATAATGAATATGAAAATAATGGTAGTTGGGCTTATAATAACAATGCTATAAAAAAAAAAAAAAAGCAGGTGACGAGCAAGAAACACATACATATTTCTTTTGTGCTCAATACTTGCAGCTTTAAAATGGATTCAGTTTTTGTGAGAAATTTCTCAGAATTATTATATTTTTTTTTATATAAGCTTTATTTCTTTTATTGCAGTGCATTTTAAGGACTTGAAACTGGGTTGGAAGTTGCTTCCCACAGATCAGAAATAAAATAAAAAATTAAGATATTACTACTAGTGTACACAAAAACATAAAAAATGGCACCAAGCAACTGGAAAGAAATAAAAAGTTTATATAGTTAAATTTAATTTTTGACAACCATTGGATTTAATAGTGTAAACAGTAGAGCAGCTTCCCAAGATAAAAAGGACTACAAGCTTGAATCATGTCTAGAGATTATATTCCAATCTGCATTGTGTACTGATGGCCATAGACTGAAGATTTGAATAGTTATGATGAGAAGCAACTAAAATAAAAATAAAATTAAAGAAATACTAGTAAAAGTTAATAATGATTGACAATACTTCCTAAAATATTTTTAATACCTATACTCAATAACACAGCAAAAGGTTAATAATACAGAAGGCTCATCATTGCCAGATAATCTTGCTTATGTATAGATAAAAATATAGGTACACATGCTCAGGAACACCATACCCATGAAGAATATAAGGAAACGGAATGAAAAATAGAAGAGTGAATATGATTAATAAATGAAAATATAAAAGTTAAAACAGGTAAGAAACTCAATAGTTACAATAAAAACAAGGTGAAGTGTTGATAGTAGTTGCAGAGTATGGTAAAACTGGTATCTACCTATGAAAGTCAGAATATGAGGGAGGTAAGAAGTATAGAAAATAGGGATGAAGGCAATATGAGGTGGAGGGAAGTGGAATAAGTTTTAAAAGCTACTGCCAACATTTTGGATATTTTTCAATTTGCTACTATATAATGTTACTCTCAACTCCCTACTCAATAGCAGACCACTAAAAAAGCTTCTGGGTTAGTTTTCTGACTTTTTCTCCCTCTTTAATTACATAACGTCATGCTTTTGTATAGAGTGTGACGTCAATCATGCTCATTCTATGACATCAGAACATGAACCTGACGTCAGAGACACATATGTAGTGTACACCAAACAATGGCAATGATGATTACCATAGGAAGCCGAAAGTGGGAAGTAGAGGGAGAGAAAGAAGTAATCTGTTGTGTTTTTAGACAGGAGTAGAGTTGATATCAAGATTTGGTTGTATTTTTGTGTTGATCTTTTTCATGTTACAATCATCAGTTTTATCACTTCACTACATTTTGCTGTGATAAAAAAGATTTTTTTATCTTTCTTATTCACTGACAACAACAACAACCAAAAAATTGCATGAATAGGGAATTTATCTATTGCAGGACTGAAAAGTAAATAAAGATGTTTAGAGAAAAAGTGGTAATCAATATCTAAAATAACTCTAGAAAGGTATTCAATTATCAATAGTCATTTACAAAATCATGATAGAAAATAACACACAAATATAATACAATTCTGATATTTATAGAAATATTTGCATGTCTGCTCAAAGTAAGTAGGATGGTTTCTACTTATAATAATTCATAGTACAGATGAAATGATAAAAACCTTAGAAAAACTATACACTTTTTGTGTAAGAAATTTGTTTATATACTTGTAAAATCCTTATTAGATGCATGATGTAATAGTTGCAAATATATTGATTAAAACTTTATACATGTAACTATAAAAATTCAAGAAGCACTCTTTACACAGGACTGTTAACAAGCATGAAAATTTACTTTTTAAAGTAATTAAGTTCTGAAGATAAGTGGTAGAAACAATGAGGCATAAAGCTAAAGAAAACTAGAGTGAGTATAAGCTTAGATGCTGAGTATTGGAAGATTTTCAATGTCTAATAGTCTGTAATCACAAATAATGAAGAAAATTGCTGAAGCTGTTGATTTTTTTCTCTACAAACTTTATACAAAGAAAGTCATACAGCAAACAGGCAATGTTTCTTATTTTATTTTGCCAAACATTTATATTTCAATATGCAATAATAATTCAATAATGCAGGTATGTGATAATGTATTTAGTACATGCATTTCAACATCATACTGAGAGAACAGGCTTTAAAACAACAAGTGAGAAATTGGCAAAGCTATTGGGAACAATTCCTGTTATTTTTCTTATAAATCAGACTATTTGGATTTTCAATCCAGAATATTCAACTTGATTAGAAAGTATCTAGTTATTTTGAATATTTCAAGAAACAGTTGACATAACCATTAAGAAGGGACCTTATGCACATGCATAAACAGACACTTTCTAATGAGATTACTCAGCTGGCAGTAAGAAGCTATTGTGTGACTGTCACATTCAGAGCAAATATGAATAAATTTTTGGATGAAACCTATACATTCATCTGCATAAATTATTCAAATGATTAAGGCAGCTTTCATGGATGATTCAATGAGCAAAACCCAGATAAAATTTTGGCCAGGAAGTCATCGAAAAGCCTTTAACAAGCAGAACATTCAAAAATATTGAATGCATGTGAGCTGCAATCAAAGGAAATTGGTGATTGGCTGTGTGGGGCTGTCCATAAAGTATCAGGTCATTTTGAATATCTCAACAACCTGTTCTTTATATCTTATGCAGGATTTTCACATAAAACATAGCATCACCCACATCTGTCAGCATCCACCTGCACTTCAGATTTGGTTTTCTGCAACTTTGGGATTTTTCCTAAACTAAAATTGTTGTTGAAAAGTAGGTGATTTCAGATCATGGAGGACATAAGGATTTTGAAAAGTAGAAGGGATGCTGGGATGTGCGTGTGAGGAGTATTTATGATATCCTTCTTCTGGATAGCCTACATTTTGTTAATATTAAATGGGTTGACTGTTTCTGGACTGACCTTATATGTTTCACTTATTTCAGAATGCAGCAACAAATATATTTAAAGTAGTATATGAGCAAAAAGAGATCATCTGTAGTAAGAATCCATTGTTTTCAAATATGTTTAATATATCTTACTTTATAAGATATTTATACCTAAAAAAAATTCTCATATTTCAGAATATTATTTTTGGGGGATGAAAAAAAGAAAACAATATACAAATCAGGGTGAAAAAATATAAATCTTAAAGAAAAGTTTTGCAAAAATACAAAATGGTATGCTGAGAATGAAAACATAATCAAACTTTTAAAAATTTTAAGTGAAATTAAATATAAAGATATAGCTCTGTATGTAGATTTTGAAATTTTATTCATAGTCTGATCAAGATATTTTATAAAAAAACTGCTGATTTTTTTTTTAAATTCAAAATTATCATACTTGACAGCTCTTACTTCTTTGAATAAACAAATAATTTTGCCAAATAAAAATAGCTGAATAAGCAGTTTTTCATAGCAAAATTATAATAACAGATAAGTTCTTGGTTTCAATTTATTTAATTTGTATACTGCGAGTTAATGTGCTACCTGTTGTCTCCAGAGATCAACAGCCATTTTGACTAAAATAGGACAACATGCTGAATTGCAATTGACAAGATTTGGAAAACATTTACAGGTGTTTCTATAACTTGTAGTTAATTTATGCTTCCAAAAAAATATTTTATCATTAGGTAAGCTGCAAAAGTATTGATTATTCAGATATATTATCTTTATGTCTGACAGTAAATTTTTTTTCTATGTACAGGAGGAATATAAATTAAGAAAATGTCTTTCAATGGCAATGTGAATGTCTGAGTTAAGTTTATAAAACCTTCCACTATTTTTAAAAATTTGTTTGTGTGTGTTTGACTCATACATGCACTGAGCTACAGACATTTTCTGTTAGTTCTTAAAAAAAAAAAAAAAAAAAAAAAAAAATTGCTGCAAGCATTCTAGCAAAAAGAAAGTATAACCAAAAAACCAAAATCAAAACAAAATCCCTGAACAGACTGATCATGTGACTGACCTGAGCAAAGTAACACTTGAGTGTCTTTCCTCCTAATTCTGTCTCATGGAGATGGATTCTTGCTTTTGCTGCCAATAAAGCTGAACTGAACACGACTCGTGCCCGCCGAAAACACTTCAAGTATTGAACAAATGCTTCATCATCAAATGCCTTGAAAAGGTTCTCAAATTCATCCTGCATTAATAAAAAAAAATAAAAAAAAATTTACAACATTTGTTAAATATTAACAAAACAATGAAGAATCAATTAAGATTATACAAGTGACTGAATTGTGTCTATAAAGTTGAAAATGGATGAAAAGAAAAATTCCAAGGTATTTAATACAAAATCAATAGAACTAAATCCACATTATGATTGGATAGCTTAATTAAACAAATAACATTTTGAATACTGAACTTTTTAGCTTTACAATGGATTATTATCTGGGATGCTTAGTAATGAAAGTTTTTTGTTTTAGCAAAATTCTGACCATTCTGAAAGTTTTTTGCCGGGGGGGGGGATTATTAAACAATCAGCCAAAAGTGTAACTAACTTCATATACTGAAAATTAAAAAATTCAAACACTTTATTCACAGTAAAAATGTACATTATAAAAGGAACTAAAAAAAAAAAAAAATATATCGTGCACGAAATACTTACAACACAAAAATTAATTCAGATACTCAGAGGCATTGATGTTTCATCACAGAACAGAAATGCATAACTTTATAAAAACAAAAAATCATACAGTATATATGAAGCTTCATTTATCTAGGACAGAGATATATAATACTGTCTTCTCTAGCTTTAAATGAAATCCAGTGTATCATCTTCCTTTAATAAATGCAAAGAATAGAGTAGAAAATGCCAACAAATAGCATGATCACATTACAAGACTTAAAACAAAGTGGCACTAACTCAGAGATGCTGTACATATAAATCTACAAAATTTGATTTGGCATCATGGCTTATTGGATTATTCTTCTCTGAATTATTAGAAAAGCTACAATAGTCTGTTAGATTAAGAATCTGGTTTCTGTAAGATTAACAGTGATAGGAATTTTATTCAACTATCAAATGTATTTCAGTGTTTCACTGATAAAATAAACAAAAAGGAATTCAGTCCTCCTATATGGCAGTAAATGCTGGACAATCTCACAAAGAGACTTGAGGCAACAGAAATGTGGTTCTACAGAAGGATGCAGAAAAGAACATGGAGTGAACACATGAGCAATGACAAGGTTTTAGAGAAAATGGAAATGAAAAGAACACTTATATGTAGCATCAGAAAGAAATAGTTGAAATGTCTAGGGCACATAATGGGGGAAGAGAGATTAGAAAATCTGACACTCATAGGACATATCGAACGTAAGAGGGACAGAGGAAAGCAGCACATAACCTACCTAACAAGCTTGTGTAAATGATTGGCAGAACAGAGATACACAAAATTAAGTGCTACAAAGGACAGGAAATTGTTGAGAGCCATGATTGTCCACATTCTGAAGGGACACAACACATAGAAGTAGTTGATTTCAGATTTCCTCATCTTTACATTCACCTGCTACTTTACAGGTTAACTGAAAAGCTTGGTTTCCTTAACTGTACACTAAATCCTTCTTATGTCTAATGTACCAGAATAAAAGTCTGTCCATGTTAAATTTTTAAATATTATCATTTATTACCCTGGAAATCTAGCTTGCATGATTTAGTATACAAATGTACGATACAAATATAATGATAACTGTATTATTATACAATGCTTAGATTTCTTTATAACACTCATTTCTCTAAGTCAAATTGAGTTGGTAAAATGATCACTTTGAACTTACATCTACCTATATACATTTTCATTGTACAACACACATGAAAAGAAAAATTGTCTACCCAGCAAGGAATTAAATCCAGTCTTATAAGGGACAGGCAAAAAAAACTTACAACATTCTTGAAAACTTGATTACACTAAGCTATCACAATAGGCCACCTTTGAATGAAGCTTGTGCACTCACAACTACAAAGGATAAAAATTTGGCAGGTGCTTTTGATAGATATGTACCAAAAACACAGACAAATCTATCCCATTTATATATTTTCTATACGCACAAAAAAAAGTAAAAGTTTAAAACTGAGCACATCTCTGAGTATAACAGAGAAGGTTACCTATCCTATGACCAAGGAGTTTCATGGTAGTGGAGAATCATTGGTTTATATAAGTATAAATTTTCTCTTTCTTTGATGATTCAACAAGTGTTCTTGAAAACTTTTATTAACTAAACTAAGAAAAATTTTATAAATTCATTTAACTGAAAGCATAACCTTGACATAAAATTTTTTTTTTAAAATTCAATTTTTCACAAAACTATGTCAATGATCTAAAACACCAAAAATGGCTTGGAAATGTTCTTTATATAGACTGATATCATTTTCACTAAAGTAGGATAATCATTTTGACTTGGTGTATTATTATAGTCAATATTTATCATACTATCATATGAAATGAAGTATAATCTTCTGTGCTGTGTTCCTTCAGAACATGGTCAATCATGGGTCTCCACAACTTCCTATCCTTTGTAGCACTTAATGTTTGTTTTTTTTACTATCTCACCCACTGTGTTCTGCCATCCATTTACACAAGCTCAGTAGATTTATTTGTTGTTTCACTGTCTCTTTTGCTTCCAATATGTCCTGTGAGTGTTACATTTTCCAAGCCTTCTTTCCTCGTTATGTCTTGGAAATTTCAACTGTATCTTTCTAAGTATTCGTCCTTTTTGTTTGAATTTTCTTTAAAACTTTGTTGCTTACATGCTCCATTGATGATATTTTCAGTATCCTTCTGTAAAAAAATCTGTTACCTTAAGTCTCCTCTTCATATGTGAAGAAATTATCCTGCATTCACTGCCATATAGGACTAATATTAGATTATAGTTGAGAACTCTTTTCTTTGGTTCTAATAAAATAGAAGTTATGTTTCTATTGTACTATGAGCTCAAGAACCTGGCTAAAAAAAAAAAATTAAATAAAAGAAAAAAATAACTTAAGGGAGGAAAAAAAAAAAAAAAAAAAAAATCAAGGAAAAGTCCAGAACTGCTAATTTCCCTAATTTGTTGACTACTCATTACCTTGCCCCATAACATTGTTGGTGATTTACCCGTTTCTATTTATATCAAAATATTAGATTAGATATTTTACGTACCAGCAGATAACATACAAACTCGATAGTCAAAATCTTTGTTGTCTGAAGCAGTAGGGAAGCAGATGCAATCATAAAAAATAGATATGAGATTTAAAATTAAATTTGAAGGTGCTTGACTTAGAACTTTACGAATGCAAGATCTTCTACAAACATACCTAGAAACCGAATTGATTCCTGAAATTGGTTTGCTGAGATGTTTGATTTTTATTTACAAATTTCTTGCATAATAATGTAACTTGATTATGTTAAAAGAAAATGTGATATGAAATGTTGAAAGTAAGCAGAAAATAAATTGGCTATACTACAACTAACAAAAAACAAGAATTAGCTACCAACAGTTTATTGTACTTTTCATACTATCCCCACACATATCTCAATCTTCTATCAGAGCAATTAAATTTAAATTTATGTATACATTATAATACTTATTTTTGGCAAAACTAAAGAGGAGAGAAAGAAAGAAAAAAATTCTCTAGGTCATAGAACTAGTGACCCTCCCCTCCCCTAGGTCTCAAAAATATAAAGATGTTATTTTAGAATTAAACAAAGAGTAAATCAGCCTCATCTTCAAGTTGGAATGAACAATTCATTTCAAACGAAGTCAAAAATTACAATGTGAACAGGCAATGACTCATACTATTCACTTGAAATTCTGCTTCCCATGTTCTTATGTTGGCTGAAGAAGGTAAATGTTTTATTTTTGTTCTTATTTTGTATATCTGTTCTATTTCTCATTCGTATTACTGGAAGAATTCTAGAAAGGGAATTCATTTTAGATTTTCTATTCCTCTTTGTCAATGAAACTTATACTAAGTTAAAATATACTACAATGGCTCTGCTATCATCCCCTTTAGCAGTTAAACCCATTGTGGTTTAATAATTTCTTGTCCTACTAGAAAAAATTAAGTTTTCCTTTTTCTCTCGATAGAAGTCATTGTAACTGTTAAAACCCTACAAAACAACCATGAAGTTAAACAAGGTTGCTGGAGGTAAGCATTAATAGCCAAGGATCCAAACTTTAGGGTAACTCCCAAGAAGGCTATCCTATCAGCAGGCGAATACCTTACTGCCATTTTGTGAATGGGATCTGGACTAGCAGTTTCAAGTGTAGCCTCTCAAAGACAGGATGAAGTGTATGGTAGCTACAGATGTGCTTTCTGGTGACTAATTCAGGTGAGATTTTTTTCCATATATACCACTTGGAGCGTTACTGTTTTGTTACTTCGATTCATCACTCCCAAAACCAAAAATGAATGAATAAAAAAAAAAAAAACAAAAAAAAAAAAAAAACAACAACAAACAAACAACCAACCAACCATACATAAAGTAGACCTCAATTTCTCCATCTCCACTAACTCTTTATGGTTCAACTATCCAGAGATTCGAACTACATTTTCAAGAGGTCAATCCTGACCACCTGTTCATATCTGAAAGTGGACACAGGCAGTTTTTTTTTTAAATCAGGACTTCATGATCCTAGGCTACTCACCCCTATTCACTAAAGATAACAAAATTGACACACCCAATATGTACAAACTTTATAGTACTCCAAGTCATCATGCACTAAGACTTGTACTGATCCATAGCTGATGCTCATTTGAGCTAACGTGATTTATCAGTTTTCCTTGATCAAAGCATCCACCCTCTGGATATGGTCTTCCATGTACCATGTTAATAAGTGATCAGATCTGCTTTCATCCATTACACTTGTTCTGCTTTAAAGTGTTCTACCCACTCATAGGCATTTTGTTGATTTTGTGCATGCTCTATACTGCACCAATATCTTCCAATGGATTTGTGCAAGCTTGTTTCCCTCTGCCCCCAGAAGTGCATTACAGCACATTGTTCCTTGATGGTGAAATCACTGAGTGGAGTGTCCATACATCTAACCCTGTTGCTCCCTGCTACTCGATTGAATAATGGAACACTGTACATGGATAGATACCAGTCTGATACACATGCATGGCATCACGTGTCAGGACCTTTCCTGTTGTTGTTAGCATGT